TGGATACATACTCTATCGCTCGCTTTCTTTCTTTCTCTCGCTCCTCTCACTGCACACGCTGCTATATGTTTTTGCGTGTAGTCTTTCCTTCTCGATCTATACATATGGATGTATATTATAATATTTTCTGCTTGACGCCCTTGTTCAGGTTGCCTCATCGATACATGTGTCAACCGATTAACTCATCACCGTGTCATGCACTCCAGCTGTCGAGCAAATTCGATAGCCAAATCTGCCGCCACAGGCTCGGCTTGCAACGCAGAGCCAGCGTCTGGCATGAATACACCTCTGTAGCTGGCCACCTCTCCTGCCCACTGTGACCCATTTTACAGTGCCGTTTTTAATACATGCTCCGCGTGCGGATCATGTATTAGACTTGCAGGGATTTAGCATTAAAGACAACGAGGAGTTCATGCATACATTTATTCCTAAATTCGTCATGCATTAAACATCCAGCGGCCCTCGCTCCTCGTGCTGCCTCCTCGTCCTCCTCCTCCTCGTCCTCCTCCTCGTCCTCATGTGCTCGCCTCCTCGTCCTCCTCCTCGCTCCTCCTCCTGCTGCTCCTCCTGCTGCTGCTGATACATAACATCCCATGTATTAAAAACTGCCCTGCAGCCAGCTCTCCTGCCCACTGTGACCTGTTCTGCCAGAAGAGAACAGTGACGGACGCGCCGGCGCCGCGTCTTCTGCTTTGAATCCGCCATCGCATACAGTTGCAGATGGGCGCCGTCCTGCAGAGCATCAGCGATGCTGCGCATGTCGCCGTCCCTCACGTCGTGCTCCAGACCCACGCAGGCAGTGCACGCCAAGTCGGCGGCCTTCTTACGCTCGCGCACCCTCCAGGCATGTGTGCTGAGGTGCCCAGCCTTATGCCGGAGCGTGTCCTCGAAGAGGACGTATTTTCCTTCGCACATATCTTTGGACGATGGCGTCGTACGAGGAGTTCGTATAATCCACTTTCAAATTCATAAGATCACATAACGTTCTGTTGTCAACCACGAACTCGAGTTGAGGCCTGTCCGACAACGAGTCATGGTTTAATCTCGTTGGCGCGAACAAGTCCATCAAAATCGTAACACCTGGCGCAGCGCTGGGTCGATGAACTTCGGACTGGGTGTAAAAAGGTGGTGGCTCTGGCAATCCCAATTCTCGACACGCGTCCAGCACAAAGCCGCTCCTGCCCGATTTCCAGTCCTGGGCGCTCTTGCACCCTACAAGCCTGCATTGCCGTCCCATGCCCCATCTAAGGTAAAATATGTCATCGAAATGTTCCTGGCGACCTGGGCGCACGTTCACTCCGTCGTTGCCGCGCCTTTTCTTGTAGACGGTCTCAGGCTCTGTGTCCGTTCCCACCATCCCGAGTTCCTGTCGTCCCCTGATCGCTGCCAGCTGCCTGGCGACCGTTCTGGCATGCCACAGCTGCGTGTGGGCACGCTCCAATATGGCGACATGTATGGGCCTGAGCTCGCAGCCTATTGTGCGCTGTCCACTGCGGGGTTCCAGAAGTTGTTCTCCTGTTGTGCTCCATGCGCTCCTCCTGGGGTCCACGGCGCACATCCGCCGCTCCGAACGTACAGCCTCCATCAACGAGCCTGCGCTCCTGTGCAAAGCGTACACACGCAAAGCCCAACGCATCTCGAGACCGCTCTGTAAGCCCCAAGTTTCATTCATGCTGACGGGAGCTTTGCCCATGAACTGCTTGCGGTACTTCTGGCAAGCCGCCTCACCCCTCGAGAAACGATGCTGTCGTGACGTGACGCTCTTTTTGGGCAGGTCTTGTCCAAGATGCCGCTGAGGGCTTCAATCGTCGATCGGATCTTGCACCTCAAGTGCTGCTCGCAACACTCCACGACGTGATCGTCGCTAGGCATGGCGTAGCTAATGACCATCAGATCAAGGGAATATTATTGTCATTCCCATTCGTGCCGATCTGTCTTGGCAGATGTGAGTGATCTCGCCATGAAATGATACTGATTGATGTCATTTGCTAGGATGAAAACGTTGTTCACCCAAGCGACACTTCGTATCTTCTGCCCAGTCTCTCGTGAGAGTGAAACCGATGCCAAGCAGTTCCCATTCTGTCTCAAGTTCGGGCAGAAGCCCGTCGAATGAATCCGTCTCTATAAATGTAACAACACAGATTTGCTTTGCCGCTGGTCTTCAATCCCTGCATGGATACGGCGCCAGTTTTCTGCGATATCCGGCAACTTCTTCCCGTGCTAGCGCCAAGACTTGGGGTGCATAGGCTCCTGCCTTTGTATGTTCGGAGTATATCCCGTGCTGGACCGAGTCGAAAGCAGTGCGTAATTCCTGTGCTCAAGGCATGAGTTTCTGGCATCCTGCCATGCAGAGGCGTAGGACACGCTCTCGTAGAGCAGCCCGAACAGGTCATCGACAGACGTGCTACATTTGTATCCGAAAGTATATTATTTTGTGTCTAGCCACGAACCTGGGGATGCTTGTGTCTGCAAGCTCTTGGTATACCTCTCTCCCTTCCTCTCGCTCATTCCCAACCATCCTGTGGTGTTGGGTCCTCGTTTTGAACAGACAGCGCCCGCGTCCTTCCTTCCTCCCGCTGCCCCCCCTCCCTCTCCCCATCATCAGCATCACCGTCACCATCAGTATCGTCACCATCATCATCATCATCATCATCATCATCATCATCATCATCATCATCATCATCATCATCACCATCATCATCAGTGCGGCACACCCCTCACACGGTTCGTGGCCCCATAGGGAGCCCCACCGAAGGCCCCAGTGGGTGCGTCCTCATGCGTCACCGCCACCCATTACGGCACGCCCCTCAAACGGTTCGTAGCCCCATAGGGAGCTCCACCGGCCCCAATGGCTGCGTCCTCATGCGTCACCGCCACCCATTTCGGCACACCCTTCACACGGTTCGTGGCCCCATAGGGAGCTCCACCGAATGCCCCAGTGGTTGCGTCCTCTTGCGTCACCGCCACGCATTACGGGACACCTCTCACACGGTTCGTGGCCCCATAGGGAGCTCCACCGAAGGCCCCAGTGGCAGGGTCTGCATGCGTCACCGCCACCCAGGACGGCGTTTCGTGGCCCCATAGGGAGCTTCACCGAAGGCGCCAGTGGCAGCGTCCGCATGCGCCACCGCCATCCAGGACAGCGATCCGTGGCCCCATAGGGAGCTCCACCGAAGGCTTCAGTGGCAGGGTCCGCATGCGTCACTGCCACCCAGGACACCGTTTCGTGGCCCCATAGGGAGCTCCACCGAAGGCTCCAGTGGCAGGGTCCACATTCGTCACCGCCACCCAGGACAGCGTTTCGTGGCCCCATAGGGAGCTCCACCGAAGGCTCCAGTGGCAGGCCCCATAGGGAGCTCCACCGAAGGCTCCAGTGGCAGGGCCGCATGCGTCACCGCCACCCATGACAGCGTTTCGTAGCCCCATAGGAAGCTCCACCGGCCCCAATGGCTGCGTCTTCATGCGTCACCGCCACCCAGGGACAGCGTTTCGTGGTCCCATAGGGAGCCCCACGCAAGGCTCCAGTGGCAGAGTCCGCATGCGTCACCGCCACCCAGGACAGCGTTTCGCGGCCCCATAGGGAGCTCCACCGAAGGCTCCAGTGGCAGCGTCCGCATTCGTCACCGCCACCCAGGACAGCGTTTCGTGGCCCCATCAGGGAGCTCCACAGAAGGCTCCAGTGGTAGGGTGCGTCACCGCCACCCAGGAAAGCGTTTCGTGGCCCCATAGGTAGCTCCACCGAAGACTCCAGTGACAGTGTCCGCATGCGTCACCGCCACCCAGGACAGCGTTTCGTGGCCCAATAGGGAGCTCCACCGAAGGCTCCAGTGGCAGCGTCCGCATGCGTCACCACCACCATTACGACACACCCCCATACGGATGTCCACCGAAAGCGGTACCTACAATGCGGCATTCGCAATTGCATTGGTTGGGTCCTTCGCCAGGCTATTTTTTGTCACTCTCTCTCTCTCTCTTCCTCCTTTCTCTCTCTATCGCTCTCTCTCTCTCTCTCCATCTCTTACTGGTGGTAGTAGTCGTAGTGCTACTAGTCGCAGTCTAGTAGTAGTAGTAGTAGTAGTAGTAGTAGTAGTAGTAGTAGTAGTAGTTGTCGTCGTCGTCGTCGTCGTCGTCGTAATAGTAGTAGTAGTAGTAGTAGTAGTAGTAGTAGTAGTAGTAGTAGTAGTAGTAGTAGTAGTAGTAGTAGTAGCAGTAACAGCAGCAGTAGTAGTAGTAGTCGTCGTCGTCGTAGTAGTAGTAGTAGTAGTGGTGGTAGTAGTAGTGTTCGTAGTTGTAGTAGTAGTAGTAGTAGTAGTAGTAGTAGTAGTAGTAGTAGTAGTAGT